CCCCAAAAGCATCCCACTCATGCCTGAGGTCACACCCTGGATGTTGGGGGTATGCTTTCCACAAGGACAAGCCGTGTGGGTGTTGGAGCCCGCAGCCGGCCACATGTCACCTGCCCTGTCCCCCTGGCCAAGCCGGAGGGACTGCTGCTAAGGCGGTCCCCAGGGCTGAGGCTGGGCCAAGCGTGCAGGGCGGGGTGGGCGTCTGTGCCTGGCCACATGCCCCGGCTTTCTGTGTCTCCCCATCAGGGTCTCCCACTCAGCGATGCTCAGTGAGTATCTAGGTATTTGTGTCTCAGTTCCTTGTTTCAACCACGACTGAAACTGTGTCTGAAAGCCCCATTTCCGCTTTTGTCTCTTGGTCCTCTTATTGCTGGCCTATAAATAACTGCTTCCCTCCTGGGCTGGGCTCCTGTCTTGGCCCCACGGCAGCCCCTCCTGAGAGCCACAGGTCAGAGGGGTCAACGGGGCAGCACCCTGGCTGGAGAGGCTAGGCGTGGAGAGGGCAGAGATGGCGACAGAGTGAGACCCCTGCACTGCTGGGGGAGGCGGTTGTCCTCTGCTACAGGGACTCGCCTTGTCTCCTCAGAGCGGTCACCCCATAAGGACCTGGGAGCCAGGCCATCCGAGCCCCGTGGCATGTGGGCTCCCACCCCCAATCCCACCCTCAAAGCAAGCAGTCAGGCTGCCCCAGGTGCCACGATGGGGAAGGGTGCCTCACAAATACAGAGGCACCCTCCCCGGGTGCAGGGAGGGGTCTGTGCCCAGCATGGACACCTGACTGGCCAGCCTCTGACTGAGGCATCCACCAGGGCAGGAGCTGGCTGGCCGCTGGCCGGGATGGGGAGGTATCCAAGGTTTGAGGCCTGGGTCTGGGCAGTGCTGAGTGCCTGTGTCTGCAGCCAGGCTGGGCGCTGGGACCCAGGGGCTCTGTGGGTTGGCTGTCCACCTGGGAGCAGCCAGCTCGGCCTCCAGGCCACTGGGGTTCGTCAGGGCTATCCTCCCACGGGTCAGGGATGAGGCCTTTGAGAACCTGGCCTGCCTCAGCAGGGGGTGGAAACGCCATAGGAGTCAGGCCTGGGCTGTGTCTGCCCTGGAGACCAAGCGTTATGGGAGATTGGGGGTAGGAGCATAAACCAAGTGTGGGGTCGGGGACTCAGGCCAAGTCACTCTGGCCCAACTCCTCGCACACTGGGGGGTCCTGCAGAGGTGGGTCGGGTGCCGCCCCCACCCCAGAGCTGAACTCCGGGGGTTGCTCCCCCCACCACGCAGAGGGGACCTCAGGGTGCCTACCGTGTCCCCACTGTCCCCAGGGATTCAGGGCCCAGCATCAGGCCTTTGCCCTCCCCCACTAACTCTCAGAGAGAAAACACAGAATCCTGGGCTGTGGCTGGGCAATGAGAGGAAACGTGGAATCCTGGGCTGTGGCTGGGCAACGAAGTGCCAGGGCCGTCCTTGCACAGCTGCTCCCCACCCTCCCTGCCCTCACCAGAGAGGGCCCTTGCTCCCTTAAATGCTCCAGGCAGATGGGCAGCTCAGAGCACAGAGGCCCTGCTTCTTGCAGGCCCCATCTCAGACTTGGAGCCTGTCCAAGGCCCTTCCCAGGACTACAGACCCCAGAGTGCCTCACCACCTCCTCTTCCAATGGAACCTGGGAGGCCCGCAAGCCAGGTTGGCTCGAGCTGAGAGACCCTTGGAGAGTAGGGCTGTAGCCGCCTTGTCCCATGGTAGATAGCATAAGACCCTGCAGGCATCAGAGGTCATGGCTGAAGGTGCCAGATTTTCTGCCCTGCAGGGCATTAGGCACGGCTGCCAGTCCCAGGCTGAGGTAGAGGGCCCAGCTGTCACCTGGCTGGGTATCACCCAGCTGCACGGAGTGGGGAAGGAGCCAGTCATCTACAGGACTAGCTGGAGGCTGTGTGACTCTCTGGACCTGGGGTTGCCAGGAGGCTGAGGCCATAGGGAGGCAGACAGCATCCCCTTTCCCAGGCCTGGCTTTTCGCATCTGCCCTGGCCTCATTGGTACATACCTCTGGGGGTCCTGCCTTGGTGTCCATCCTGATTCCAGCCACAGACTGCAGGCCCTCAGCTCACGGGGCAGGCTTGGTGCTGCCTGTGCTCCACACCAACCTCCTCCTCTCTGCAGCTCACTGCTTCCCCTTCCAGCTACTTCCTCTTTGTCCTGAGAGGCCCCCTCTCATCCGAGACAGAAACAGAAGGCTGGAGCTGGGTGGGCGGGCTAGAGGGTGGGGCTGAGAACCTTCACCTCCAGGAAAAATCTACACCCCACTCCCTCGAGGTAGAGGCCCTCCAGTTACAGGCCTACGAATCAGAGTCAAGCTCAGCTACAGGCCACAGAGACCTAAGGAACAGTGGCTTCAGCAAGGTTGTTCATTACTCTCGAACACTAAGCAGGTCCAGGGGCTGGCAGGCTAGAGATAGCCTTGCTAGAGATGATGACATTGCTCCACTGCCATTGGGAGCCAGGACCTTCCAGTTTTCAGATCCCAATCCCTAGGATCCCTGCCTTCATGGCCTCACAATGGCTGCTGGAGCTCAGCCATTGCCTCTGTGTTCTTAGCAGAGAATAAGGGACATCCCAGAGGAGACTTCCTGGAAGTCCCACAGGGCACTTCCACTTATCTGTGATCTGGAACTTGATCTAGAACTTGGTCACATGGCTACACTTAGCTGCAAGGGAGGCTGAGCAGTGGAGGTAACTAGGGTCTTTATCCTGGAGAACGAAGCTGGGGCCGCTCGTTGGCATATCTGAAAAGGTAGGCTTGGCTAGAGGCTCCCAGCAAGGGGCTCTGCCTCCCACTCCCTACCCCTCACTGGGGTCCCTGAGTAGGGTCTGGGACCTTGAGAACACCCCTACTTTTCAGTGCAGTCTGGGTGTCCACCCTAGCTCCTCCTTGTAAGGCCTATGTAGGGCAGGGGTCCAGGGTGCTGGCCTCAGGGTGCCTGCAGGACACCCATCAGCAGGGTGCAGTTCCCAAGGGTGGGGCCTGTCAGCTGCACCCCTGGGGCCAGTTTGGGTGCACCAGGAAGTGAATGGGGAAGAGATCCAGCCTCCCCTAGCCCGTCCCAGATCTCCCTTCACCTTCTTGCTGCTCCAATTTGGCCTTGGGGTCAGTCCTTACCTCCCGGCCATGGTTGGGGAGCCTCTGCTCTCTGGCTGGGTTGCTGGATGCCTGAATGCGGCTGTGCCCCAGGCATGCCCCCGAGGGTTGGGTCCTCCAGGGACTCTGGGTGGGGATTATTCTGGGTATGGGGAGGGGCAGCCAGGTGGACCCTGCTGTGACATTTGCAGGGCTGGGGCATGAGTATGAAGGGAGGCTGCCTTCCCTGCCCTCAAGCTAAAGGCAGTTAGACAGAATAGATTCTCTTCTGTCTTTTTTTTTTTTTTTTCCTTTGAGAGAAGTTTCGCTCTTGTACCCCAGGTTTGAGTGCAATGGCTTTATCTCGGCTGACTACAAACTCTGCCTCCCAGGTTCAAACGATTCTCCTACCTCTGCCTCCCAAGTAGCTGGGATTAAGGCACCCGCCACCACACCCAGCTAATTTTTGTATTTTTTAGTAGAGACAGGATTTCACCATGTTGGCCAGGCTGGTCTCGAACTCCTGACCTCAGATGATCCGCCCGCCTTGGCCTCCCAAAGTGTTGGGATTACAGCCGTGAGCCACTGTGCCCAGTCTCCTCTGTCTTGACAACAATGGTGTGTGAGGGCCTGGAAGGCCAGGGACAAGTGGAGGACCCCAGGGCTCCTTGGAGTGCTCTCAGAAGTCCTTGCAGGAGGGCCAGCCCCAGCCAGCCCCCTCTCTGATTTTCCCACATCGTGAGGGGCCTCAATGAGCCCACATGCTACACCCAGCCCGTGGATCCAAGCTCATCTGCAGCCCCAGAAAACCACCTCGTCGCCGCCCCTGGCTGCCCCTCAGGCCAGCAGGACTGGGTACAGCTCCGGCAGCTCCACCTTGGGAGGATGGATCCAGGCTTGGGGACATTTAAGCAGGGAGTCCTGGGCCTTGGGCTTAGGGTTCAGCAGACTGTCCTCCTGGCCCCTCAGGCTGCTTACCCTGGAAGAAAGATTGAGGCTGGAAGGGGCCTCTGGACTCAGAGCTCAGGGCAGGCCCCCCAGTGGCTCCGAGGCTGGCTGTGTGGCCAGGACCCACCTGAGGGCAGCTCCTTGCCGGCTCTGCTCCCTCCGCTGCTGGCCCCGCCCTGAGGTCTAGGGCCCTTGGGTCCCATGGGGTGTGGGGAGGGACTTTGGGGATTTCCCATGAAGCAAAACACTTTTTCTTTAATTTCCTTTGTTATTTCAAAACTTATCTTTGTGGGAAAATATGACTCATTATTTGTCAGCAGAGCTAAGGTGTTTTTTCTTTTTACCCCAAATAAGTACACACTGTCAGAGCAGGCTTGTGGGAGCACTTAAACCCCACCATAAGCACATCAGACATGCCTCACCTCATGGAGCGATGTCCTGATAAGCCCATCATACATGGAAGCTGAAAATATTCTAAGTTGATAATGAAGAAAAAAAGAGAGACAACCCAAATAACCAAAACCAGAAACAAAAAAGAGACATTACAACTGATATTACAGAAATACCAGAGATCACCAGAGACTGCCTGAGAAATTATACACTCACAGACTGGAAACCTGGAGGAAATGGAGACATCCCTGGGCACACGCAGCCTGCCGAGACTGAATCAAGAAGAAACAGAAAACCCAAACAGATCGATAAGGAGTAATGAGATTGGAACAGTAATAAAAATCTCCCAACAACAACACAAAAGGCCTACAGACCAGATGGTTTTACTACTAAATTCTACCAAACTTACAAAAAAGAACTAATACCATTTCTCCTTAAACTGTTCCAAAAAAACTGAAGAGGAGGGAATTCTCTCTAACTCATTCTATGAGGCCAGCATTACCCTGATACTCAAACCAGGCAAGGACACAACAACAAAAAAGAAAACTGCAGGTCAATATTCCTGATGAATAGATACACAAAAATCCTCAACAAAATACTAGCAAATTGAATCTAATAGCACATTAAAAGATAATCCATTATGACTAAGTGGGATTTATCCTGGGGATGCAAGGATGGTTCAACATACGCAAATCAATACATGCAATACATCAGATCCACAGAATGAAGGACAAAAACCGTATGATCATCTCAATAGATGCCAAGAAAGCATGTGATAAAATATAACACCCTTCTTCATGATAAAAACTCCCAGCAGGCTGGGCAAGGTGACTCACG